GATGTGCATCTTGTAATTAGGTTTGTCATACAGTACAGCTAATGTGATAACAGAACTATATAAGCTTGTTTTGGAGTGAACGTAGCTTACCTTGGGCTTCTTGTAAAAACCTGATAAGTACCACCTCAGCACCTGCTTGATCCGACCATATGCACTCTCTTCCAGTGAGGCTCTGTAGTGAAGAAACAAAAAGAAAAAAAATAAACAAGACATGCATACAATCTATAAATGCGAAACAAAACAGAGAATCAAAAAGAATCACCTGATTTCAAAAGACTATATTTTTTGTAAGTAATGGAAACAGAGGAGTGCAGTAAATTTTAAAATACATGGCTAAATATAAAGCAAACACACCACTTTGCATTATGTGTACAATGGGTATTATAATAAAGCACCACAAAACTTGGTGTTCAATGTGTCTTCCTCTAGATTCAAGGCACGTGTCTGTACTATAGTCAAACTCGGCCCATACTTTTGCAAGCATGTCTGGAATGACTGTTATGCTACCTGCAGCCACTGCGCCTGTTATGCTACCTACCTGCATGAAACCCATGCTTGTTCTAACAGTATGTGTTTTGATCATTATAGTTGAACAGCTGCAGAATTAAAGCACTTTGAAATCAGGTGATTCTTTGTGATACACCCTGTATGTTCTTAAGTGAAATCACTAAGATTTACTGACTGTGAGAGCAGATCTGCATGATAGTAATAGTCAGACAGCTTGTCCAGGAACGAGCGCGGCTCCAGGATAAAGGTTGGAAGCACCACCTTAGACAGGTCCATGCCTGGCCGCAGCTGCTTCAGCAAGCTCCAGATCAGGCCCTTGTTCTCCTCTGATACAGTCTCCACCTGGGATGCCTCGCCAGCCTAAAGGAACATGCACAGAGGGCAGGTCGTTGTGCGTAAGTAAGATTAGAAAAGTAATCAGGATGGCGAACAGAACTGCAAGGCAAACATAACAATCAGCCTCACCTCAGCCATCTCCTCTGTGCTCTGCTCTACATAGGCTGTAGCCTGTGGCCCGGGGGACAGCTCATCTGATTGGTCCGCATCGCTCTCCTCCGTCAGTCTTCCACCGTTCTCATTGGCTGCAGCGTCCCAGTCGTCATGAGCTTCGCGCTCCGATTTATCTGAAAAGCCGTCATGCTCCATGTGGTGATTTCCCAGCAGCACTGTGTCATTCAACCTAGTGAACAGATAAGCAAACAGGTTACAACTACATTAATAATAATGATAAGCAGCCGTTTTATCGCTGCTGTATGCCGGCTCTTGAATAGCCCTTGCAGAGGAGAAATCTGATAGCATCTCACTGGCTTGATCTTTCACGTGTGCATTATGATGCATAAGATCAAGTGACTTCTCAAAAGTCACTTGAGCCAAAGTTTTGATGACTGCCTTGCTAGTGGAGCCGTCTCTAAAGAACAAGAAATTACCTACCAAGAACATTACAGCTCTAAATGGCTTTGAACTGATGTTCTCTTGTATCCTCCTCACAGTTATGATGAGTACGTCTGCTACTTTAGAGACTATGGATGTTAATAACTTTGTTGACCTCAAGGGTTGACAGGACATCCAGATTACAAAGCCTCACGTCCACATATCCCACCCCTTAAACATTAGGTTTGAATTTACGTGGCTACAATAAAGATGCACAAACGAGTTAATATATAAACATGCAAGTATTATATATACAGACAATACCCAACTACTTGTAGGCTCTGTGCTTCAGCACATTCATTTTAAAACAACAATGGATATTATAGTAAAGCACCACTGCAACTGAAACACGTGCATTTTAACAGCGTGCACAAATTTTAAGGGCCCAAAAGTAATTGGACAATCGCCTACTAAGTATTTGTCAGCACACAATGTAAAACGATGAGTTTTTAGACTCACTGGGGTTTTGCCAACAAGATCATTTACAAACATGTAAATCAGCAGCACTCTCACTATGGCACACCTGCGCTGACTTCCTTATTGCCGTCGGCAGCAACAGGATGAGGAATGAGGTATACAGGAGATTTGTGTGTGCTCGGATTCACATGGAAAAAACAGGAAAACAAACTAACAAAAAAAATCCACATTATACAGCATTTTATTATCCACGTGATGATGCATAATATCTGCCTCACTCTCAATTAACTGCTCCATTTCACTTACTGAGAACCAGATACAAGCAAAAATCCCACATCAAGAAAGACAGATTCTGCCGGTGACTAAGACTGAAGATTTCACACCATTACCGACTACATAATTCCCCCCGACATAACTAATTTGATTGGTTTTTAAGGGTTAAGGATTACATTTTCCCAACAGTGAAATTCAGTCACAGAACTTGTACATGAACAGAACAAAAACAACATACAACTATCCAAACACATATGGTCTGTGCAGCAAATGCTTGCACAAACCCAAAAATAAACTTGAGAAAATAATCATCTTAAACTTCATGTTGTGCCGAGTTAGTGTTTTCAAGCTGTGTGATTTTGCAATCTGCAATAAAAAAGGCCCAGACCTCAGACCTGCTATCACTTAATCAGAAAAAAGGGAACAAAATATGGAAAACGAAAAAGAAGAAAGTCATACATCAGCTTGTGAACTGTCAAAGAAGGAACGAGGAAGAAGTGAGAGTGAGGAGCAGGAGGGAGGGAGAGATTTATGAGGTTGGTAGCTAAAAAGGAACAGCCTACAGCCATTTTACAATTCAGACAGTGGAAGTCTGTGGAGTGAGACTGCAGAGTCCTACATCGTGCAAAATCAATGCCATCAATTTCCAAAGCTTTGTTTCCTAACAAACATGAGCAACCGTTGGGACAGTGGAAAATAACTGGATTGTGCTGCAAGCTTCCACAAGAACATATTAGGATTGTGGTCACAGCATACAGGGAAATAGCCTGTCCAACAACAAAGATAGTTACGGGTTCAAAATGCCCCAGGGTTTGCCAAACCTGAACAGTCACATTCCAGCTAACGTTAATGTTACTTATTAATCCAAACACACCCAAAGGCAAATAAGCTTAATAAGCTTTCCTTACCTCAAAGTCTTAAAACATACAGACAAACTCTTCCTCAACGATCAAAACACCACCAGTAAATCCAATCACAGATGCAGCCTGTCCTCGTCTATTCTCCTGTGTGCGTGTGTGAATGTTTTCACTCTACTCCCTAAAAGAAAAAAAGGTGACGCTCTGTTTCTTCGACTCTGGCAAACCTGCTTCCTGAATGCGTGTGCGCTCGTGTGTGTGCATACGTGTGTCTGTGTGCATGCCTGCAATGGCTGTGCTGCTACCGTCTCTGTCTGGGTGGTGTATGGCTCATATTGTGCTCCATCTTCCTGCTCCTCTGTCAGTCATGTGACTGGTTGGGCTTTTGTGATTGGATGGGAGACGAATTGGAGAGGAGGTAATGCTGGGATGGATGTCCGGAGGGAGGAGGTAAGAGGAAGGGGAGGTTTGAGGGGGAATGAGGCTTCTAATGTTGGATGTAAACCGTACACAAACAGATCAGAATGACGGCTGCATAACCAATTAAACACACAGGATTTTAGCGGCAAACAGGACACCTTATGATTTCAGCTATTGATTAACTTCATACAAAGTCCCAACTCTGCTTTCTTGTTTCACAGCAAATACTTAAAGTTTTATACTGATTACGCTCTATTGTGTGTAAGCTGTGAAATTAAGCCTATCAAGTCCAATGACTGTTTTTCATAGACATTGATAAAGTCTCAGAATGCCTAATAATCATAGTTACTCTGACAACATAAATGGGAAATGGAAGGCATTTCCCACAATCCTCATTGTGGGAAATTGTGGGGGCGATCGTGGCTCAAGAGTTAGCAGTTCGTCTTGTAATCAAATCAAATCAAATCAAATTACTTTAATTGTCACATCACATGTGCAGGTACACTGGTACAGTACATGCGAGTGAAATTCTTGTGTGCGAGCTTCACAAGCAACAGAGTTGTGCAAAAATACAATAACGTAAAACAAGCAAAATTTAAGAATAAAATGAAATATATAACAAATATACAGAGTTGGTTGAGACATGTGCAAAACAGTGGCATTAATCGGAAGGTTGCCAGTTTGAGCCCCGACTCCGACAGTCTCGGTTGTTGTGTCCTTGGGCAAGACACTTCACCCGTTGCCTACTGGCAGGTAGTCAGAGGGCCCGGTGGGGTCCATAGAGACTAAGTAAAGCGCTATACAAATACAGGTCATTTACCATTTGTATCCTTCCCTTTTCCCCATTATACCCAGATCTCATCAAAACGCATTTTTTTAACCACTTTCACAAGGTCAGACTGTATCCACTCACACGAGCAAAATGCCAAAACTTAGCAGAATCCAATTTTCCAGCTTTATAAAGGCTGATAACACGTGAGTCACAAAGAAGGGCACAATCAGGACATGCTCAACAGACTCTGACATGTCACAACAAAAAACACAAGGGTGGACTAATGATGGCTGTATGCCATCATATCCTGCTATTGTGCATGCTGGTAATGAGCCAGAATTATCGTTATTAGTCGTGCCCACACTTTTCCTATGGCACAATGCACTGCTTACTAAGCAAAATCTACATTAAATGCAGAGACTGCCACCAACAAAAATACATTTTTATTTTTTTAAAATATAGCTTACACAACAGTTGAAGTCCATTTATTTTTTTCATTTTCTGGTTCTGGAAACTGCTTGGTTATGGTTCAATGATGATTTAAAAATAAACTGTCCCAAACATTGTGAAGTTATCCAACATTGGATTCAGCAATAATGTCTCCAGAGAATCCATGTTTCTTCATCCACTGTTCTGAGCTGACCACCAGAAAGCACAGAGGCTGTATGTGACACAGCATGGAAAAAGCCAGCCAAAGAGGGTAATGGTAAATGGTAAATGGTCTGTATTTGTATAGCGCTTTTACTAGTCCCCCC